AGTAAAAATTACTTGGTATTTTTATTCATGTAACATGCACACTTTCACTACAGGAATAGTGAGAGTTCTAAGAACTTAACGCGAAAGCCCCCTGGGCCGTTTGTCTATTTTTACGCGGTCAATTTCAAAACTAATTAGCAAATTAATTCTTTTCACGCGACTCATTAATAGTAGAGGCGTGTTTATTTATTGATGTATTATTAATTCCTTATCTTATCTGAAGCCAATCAATTCGACTTCGTCTGCAAGCAGTGATGTTTATTTCAGATGATATTGTAATGTATGAATCATTAAGTCCACACATTAGAATTCAATTCACATGATGACTACTGTTTTACCTTTAATTGCTAGAGGTAAACATGCATGCGTGGGTGTAATTACATCTGAAAATGATAAAATTTCTTTGTAACCTTGGCGGAATTTTTATTCCACTTCTTAGTTCAATTAAGTTTGTAGTTCAGTCTCTTTTGCCTGCCGAAGTAAGATCATTTATAATCCGTCCAATTCTCTTAGTGGAAAAAAGATAATACTAGTTAATGGAACTAATTCACGTTCGTCATTCGATTCTAACAGCGTAATGAAACATGGAATTCGCATTTGCAGTAACAATGAGAGCGATTTGATTGATAATTATTATGTTTTGGTAACATTTTTTAAAGTGTATGCTTTTTACAGGTGGTATAGCCGTTCTAGGCCTTTGGTTGGTATTCGGCTTTGCAGCCCAGCTAGTATGCAACTCGGTAGGTTTTCTCTACCCAGCGTATCTTTCTATCCATGCCATTGAAAGCCACAAAAAAGACGATGACACGAAGTGGTTAACGTATTGGGTGATCTTCGCTCTCTTCTCCGTTGTCGAGTACTTTGCCGACTTCATTGTGGGCTGGTTCCCTCTGTACTGGCTGATCAAGGTAAATATCTGCCATGTAAAAAAGACGGTTTATTCCATATCTATTTTAAAATATATAAAGGACGTATTTTATAGCCAGTGTAATCATCTGACTCCAGTAATTAAAGCTTTTCTGCCGAGTCACTCAATCACCAAGTGCTGTTAAAATCAAGCTTATACGCTAACAGCTCGTGTACATGTATGCAACCTAATTTTCTTCAATCTATGAATATACTTTCCAGTGCGTTTTCTTGGTATGGCTGATGATTCCCACCGAATTCAATGGATCTTTAGTGCTTTACGGCAGGATTGTGAGACCTTATTTCTTGAAGCATCACAATGTCATCGATGAAACTATGAACAAGGTTAAAGAACAGGGTAAGTTCTCGAGATTTATAAGAATACGTTCGTTCTCAATTGGAAATTTAGCAAGTGGATCATCTGTATTTAGGAGCGCTTGGTTTGTAACATATTATCGGGCTGTTGTTTTTCATTTTATTTTGAGGAGATTCTCCACGGTTCCTGATATTGTGTATTTTACGTATAAATGCAAAAAATAGCTAAAAGTATGGATAAAACGTGTTCAAAAGTTCCGTTGACTATCTCAAATAGGCCATAAAATGTCGGCGAAAAACTAAAAAATTTACATTTCAAACTAACAAATATCTACAAATATGTATTGGCGGATATGTAAATCATCAACATTTTTTCTTCGCAATTAAAGAACTCAAGAAACTTCACTCTCAAAACAATTTAAAAAACACGCAATTGTTTCGAATTAAGTAAAATCTAGTAATTTTTATGGAAATTTGAAAAGTGAACATTTCGCAACAAAGCAATCGATAAACCTGCGTTTTAGTTGACCGAAAATCAGACAAAAAGATGGATTTTCATATTCATATGATTAATTCCAACCAAAAAGCATCGCAACATCGAAATCTTATTTTAAAATATAAAAAATCATTATCTAGTTATTCACGAGAGTAGAATTTGATACAAGTTTCTTGGCGGATTAGATTATTGTAATTTTACCTAAATACTTTTGTCCTGTTGCACCATTAAAAAAAAAGAATACATATTTAAACATGTTTTTTTTTTCAGTTAACAAGGTTACCGAGAAATCCGATTAGGAGCCCCCTTGTTCTACCGTCGCGCCTTTTGCAATATATAGTGGTAATATGGAGTGTTTTTTTTTGTTTTGTTTTGTCTCGTCTGGTGTCTAAAGTCTACTATACTATTTTTATACTTCTATAAATGTTTTAAATCTTAATAAATGATTGCGCGTTGAAGAGAGGTAAAGTTAATGGTTACTTTTAGAGCACGAGAAATGCAATTCATTTTAGGTATTTTATAGATTGTAAATGCATTAGGACGCACGAGCGTTTAAAAGTATTTTTTAAAAACACTTTACTTGCGTGATTGTTTCGCTTTAAATTGATAAATGATCGGTGAAAGCTTGACTTGAAAACTCTATTGTGGATATTTTTAATACGCTCATGCTTGATATTTATTAGGCTTTAATTTTACTACATACTCTTTACCCCACTAAGGCTTGTATGTGTGAGACAAACTTGAAATCGAACCGCTTTTTTATATAAGTAAGCCGCGCTTGTTGCGAGAGTATATAAGTTTTTATGTTTATTAAAGTGGCTTTTACGAAAACTGAGAAAATAATAAAGATATTTAAAGTGGTATAGCACAGGAAAACATCCTTTCTATTTGATTAGGCATTTATTCAATCCCTCAACTTTTTTGCCAACTAACTGTTAGATTTGCTGTTTATAATCCGGTCATCGATTAGGCAGCTTTCGTGCATTTGTCCTATAGGATTCACGAATTGTTTTTAGACTAAAAGTATATACATTTTGCCAAGGCACGCACAAATAAAACGTTTCCAAAAACCCATGCATTTCAATAGTTTTCTTCCAGATTAGTTTAGGATTTTGCTAATTTCTAGCTCTTGGTTGGGGATTATTTATCGCATCTATTTCCACACGTATATACTTAAAAATGCTATAGACTAAAACACCTGAGTCTTACTAAGTCCCATATTAGCTGGCAGTCTCTTCTAACTTTTCTTGTGGTTCCTCTGGAACTTTGTGTTCCTTCTCCCCTAAAGTGCGCCTGTTTCTCCACGCTTGCATGTAGCTGGTGGGGTGTATTGGGTAAAATCCGGCCAGCCCTAACAGCTGTGCTACAGGGGTTGTGATGGCGGCCCCATTTCCGATCCAGTATCTGATTCTTTCAAAGTTCAGCGCCACCAGTTTCTCGTCGTGCTGGTTTGGTAAGGGATCATAACTGCCCAGCTGCTCGATAACGGGGCGGCTCTGATGCGCTCTAGTCTGAATTAAGAGAAATAGCTGCATAGGTTTGGGGGCTAGAAGAGTTGAGCTAATACCTACCACACTAACCACTATGTGGTAGAAGGGCCTGTTGGTGCATCCTTGTAGTAGTAAGCGAATAACCTTTGGGGAATTGTGAATGAAAATGCCTGTGCCGCTACCAGGGGGAAGCATTTTTATTTTGGGATTCTGGAAGACTAGTTTTTGGGAGTGTTTGCTTTACTCAGTTAGGTTAGCTTTAAAAAATCAGTTGGGTTATGGCAGCTTTTAAGCGAGGAAGATGAAAACATACTACCCCATAATGCAGATAGAGGCAGCACGTGATTTAGGTTATGATGCTGGAAATGAAGAAATACATTCATAAAGATATTTTGCTGAGTAGAGCAGAGGTTATATCAGTTTTTTCCGAAGGCTTGATTAAATAGAATCATTTTTCAGTCAATTATTTCATGAATGTATGGCTTTGAATGTACGGGAAACGAATATTAGGGTGGGACTTTGAATTTGGCGGGCTAAACACGTTGAACTCTGCCGCCATATTTGTTCGGTCACGTGACTTCAAAAGTGCGTTGTGGGTACAGAAATAATCAGGTATGGTTATTCCGTTCAGTATTATTTACGGAAAGTTGGTGTTTTAGATGTGCATTAAGAGCAATAAACTGCTTTAGGGGCTAGTTCAGGTAGTTTGAAAGTGTTACAATCAGTTTCCGCAGCATTCAAATGCTGTGTTATTTGAGAATAGACTTATTTGTCAATACACACAAGGCTGTAGCGAGCTTTGAAATGGCGTCGTCCCACATGGTAAAATGGGGAATTTTCTCACGGTGAAATTCGATGCGGTTCTGAATGCATTTCCATTTCAGTTAAGGTTTTTCTTATCAAACCGGTTGATTTCTCAACGATGAGTAACGGGCCTGATTTCCTTTGTAATGACGGGTCCCCGCAGTGTTGCCATGGATCGAGACCTCCAAACGTGTATTATTGTTCGTAAACATTGAATAATCCTTCGGATGATCAACATTTCACGAAACTCCCATAAAACGCTCATCGAAAGCCCCAAATTTCGACCAATTTGTCAAACTCCGGTCCTTGGCGTTGACAGCCTCAATCACATTTTTCTTGGAACTGCTTGCATTTGCAGTCAAAAACATCAAGCTGAGGTTGATATCAATCATAATTATTTGCTTATTTCATTGTTTCTCTAGAAGCGTGTTCTGCTGTTTAAGGTTTATTTCTCAGAGCGATTGAATGCAGTGTACCTTTTGTACTTTTTAAATCATAGCAAAGTTTTTTTGCGTTTGCTGGTAGTAATAATCTTTGTCCCATTTCAGATAGTTGTAAATAGAATCACTGTACATACTGTACAAAAAAAGATGAGTGCGACCGGTCGAACCACCGCCAAGGGTGGTAAGGGGCCTAAAGGCGATAAATCTCACAAAACAGATGGAGGTAAGTTGCTTTGTATTACTTCCCTAGATTAAGCCACTCATATAATCAGATAAACACGTGGAGAAAGTTGGCTAATGCCACTGAGTCGCGGTGTCTGAAAAATTCCCCTAAGAATGAGATAAATGTGCATTATCACTAACTGTGACTCAACCATCAAAGTGGTATGAGTTAAATGGCTGGCCCATATTTCCTGAGACAAGCTTGGTGTCAGAATTCATGCCATTTAAAGCCATTGTAATTCTTCAGTCAGAACCAAACACTCGTCGATTATTTTAGAAATTGTTAAAATTAAGAAACTCTTAAAACACATGGTGATGGCACAAATGATATCTAAGAGCTTGCATTGCATAAACGATATAGCTGGGATTATAGATAATCTTTATTTGTAGTGTATGCCTCATTTTTGTATTTTTTTCTGCTATCGTTTAACTAAGCAAGTAAATTCCAAAACAAGTAATGGAATTTTGATCAATATTAACATCTTTTAAATTGCAAAGTATCAAAAATGTATTTTGATTTTAACGGCCACGTGGTTTTAGAACTCAAACAGCATCGGTTTTGAGTTTGAGTTATGTGCATTTACTTGAAAGTAATTACACTAGATCAGATTAAATTTGTCAACTGTTGTGTCAACACATACCCCTAATGAGAGTTAAATCCATATTTAAGTATACATTAATTTGTGGTTAATTGTCTGATTTATTCCGGGACCCAGATAAGCATGATTTGGCCCTATAAAAAGCTTTAAAGTCACCATCTCTCAGACAAACTGATTTGTGATAATTATTATCTGATAAAGCCGAGTACCTACATCCATTTTGGCTTGTTTATGTTGCATGTATTATTAGATATATTTTGAATAAACTATCACTTTCTACCAGGAATACTTCTTACGTGAATACCATTAAATTAACTTCTTCCATCCCCCTCCACTTAACCCACCGGCTTGCAGATTTGGCTACCGCTCAGTCAGAGTTGTATCTCTACAGTCGCACGTGCTTGACGGGTTTCGTTATTCAGAGTTTCGTTTGTGTTTAGGCAAAGGCGGCGGTGATAAAGTTTCCAATAAGGAGAATATCAAAATGGAGGTCAGCATAAAAGAAAAGGTTCAGCAACTTATGGACTTGACTCATTTTCCAGAAGATCAAGTTTGCTGGGCCCTTCATGAAAGCGATAACGACATGAACACGGCCATGAATTTTCTATATGAAGAAAATGCCCCACATGTAAGTTTCACATTTTTTTGAAAAAATGTTAATGATCTTGTTAGAATTTTTAGTATTTTATCAATAACGATGGACGAACAGTGGCCAATTTTAATTTAAGCACGTGCTCTACGTGAAGTCGATTTTATTTCAAATTAAATATCCTGAATGATGATACGATGACGAGACTGAGAATTAGGTTTCAAAAATACCATTTCGGCATTCAGCGAGTTTTTTGCTTTTTGCCTATAAATGGCTTTGATGAACCTATTTCGAAGATTATCTTGGCAAACTGACGGGATTTGCTGTAAAAACTGTTTAATTTGCAAGTGACTTGTGATGCTTCAATATTCAAAAGCCAGTTTTAGGACAACATTCCCATCTATACAGGGTTGTTGAAATAAAAAATACATTGTAATCACTTCTAGCGGCAATTCAGATTTTTTAATATTATATATAGTATAATTAATAATATTATACGTATATTGAATTTACGCGAGTAGTTTTGATTTGATCGAGTTCTTATTGTGGTATTCATCAGGGTGAATGGGAAACAAAAGACAAGAGGAAGAAAAAACGACAGGCTTCTGCAGGTAAGCAGGAGAAAAAAGACGATGAAGGAGCCGGAGGCCAGGAAAGTTGGGATGAAGGCCCATCTGCCAACACCCCTGGAAACAATGTTGGCGGAGGAGATGGCAGGGAATGGAAGGTATGGAATGGCATTAGTATTTTAATTTTAAAAGGGGGGAGAGCATATATAAAAAAATAAAGCAAGAATAAAGTACTTTCAAACAGAGACAAAGACAACGTTTTAGAAATTTAGCATTGGTTAGATCTGCGCGTAAAGTTTTTTTTTAATGAAAGTCTACTGTATTTTTCAAGCTTTTGTCTTTTAAAATTGATGATGTTTAACCGGGACCGCCCAGTAGAATATATTACGTAGAACATAATTTAATGTTGATTGATCAGTGAAAATTCCAATTCAAACGACTGATTGTTGTTTTATGACTCACAGATAATACTTTTTTGATAGCTCATAAAACGCATTCCATTCATTGGGACTTCTTGTTGAAAGGTTATAATTTAGTAGCGTTCCGTTTTGAGGTCCACCTGATCTTGAAGCTGATCAGGAAAATCCTTGAGAATTTAGCAGTATGAATAAAGGTGAAATGAATGAATTTGTAGAATAACGAATGATTGGTGATGAAGACAAAAGAACAGAAGAATACATGGTAATATTGAACCAAAGCTAGTCAGTCGTTAAAATCATACACCATAGCAAACATGAAACTAAAATGAACGTAAAAGCAAGTAGCTTGCGTCTAGAACAAATCAATCTCGACATTTTCATATTAAAACGACAAAAAAAATGAATTAATGTGTGTTAGTGGGTCCAACGCAACAGACAACATAACCAACATTAAATCATATTGTATATACTTTCCTGACTGTGTTTCAATTCCAAATCAAATTCCTGGGTTTCAGTCATTTATTGTCTCTATTTATCAATCAAAATACGTTTCGGTGTATTTTTCCACCATCATCAGTTTTTATGTGTAGCGTTGTTGTTGCTTTAAGCCTTGGCATGTATTTTCTTGCTCGGCAAAAAATGCATGCCAATAGCAAAGGAAACATTGTACCCCAGAAGAAGTGATGCAGGCAAAACCAAAATAAATAAATAATAGCACCCGGAAAATTTGTGGATTTATGGCAGTAGCAATATTCTTAATTTTTAATATTGATCAGTGGTCTAAAATAACGTTTTTTTACAGGAGCGCTCGGGCGCACGTAGAGACAATAGAAGTGGGGGAGGCAATGGACCGCCGCGACGATGGCGCGAAGAAGGAAGCGGCGGCCGAGGTGGCGACCGTCGTGGCGGCGGTCGGGGCCTCACCAGAGGCGCTGGAGGAGCACGAGGACGTGGTGGTGGCCGAGCTGGCGGAAGGTAATTTCAATCATTTTTCAGTAACAGCAAATCAATACGTTTTCACTTCGACTTCGCTTGAACCACTTCTAATTTGACCGTTCTTTTTTTCAGGTATCCACCTAGGGGAAATAGGAGTGGCGGAGGACGCGACTACAATAGGCAGCCAATCGAAACATGGGATAGTTCTAATACGTGGGATAACAGCACGGCGGCTGCTGCTCCAACCACCAATCACGTTAGCAGCACCGGTTAGTGGTTTATTATTAACAGAACTACATAATTCTCTGTTACTGATGCTATTACAGAAAAATGTCTTGTTTGTGCATATACAGAACATATTAAAATCCTAATGTTGCATTTATAGATGATTGGGATGATTTGCAAACAGACGAGTGGTCCACTGAGGAATACACCGGCAGTCTCGTTGAGACTAAGGTGTTTACTCCCAGTTGCCCGCCAATATTGCAGGACAGTGTTTTGGATACCTCCACTGCGGGCCAAAACTTACCAGCGTTAGATCAAAATTTATCAAGTGCTACGCATCAGGATAACACCTACAGGTAACCGATTGAATTTGATTTTGGCACAACAATTTCTATTACTGGGCTGGAATTATTTCGTTTTTTTTTCAGTCAGTCGTTGGGTCAGACCTATAATCAAACTGTGCCGCAGTTGCCATCTCAGCCAAGCCCGGTTCCGCCCCTGGTTGGTACGCTTACCCCCGCCCAAACCCAATATTTTTCGCAGCTTTCACAACAAAATAGTGATGCTCTGGGTAAACCGTATGTTAATACAACAACGTACCAAACCCCACAGAACTCTTACGATGCGAAAACTAATGTTCCACCGGTAGGTGCTTTACTGAACGGCCCAAAAGAACCGTTTAGTAATTTTCTTATTGACTTTCAGGTATATAACAATACGTCTCAAGTATACCCAGCGGTGACCCAGGCGTACAGCAACGCTACCCAACAACAGTACGCTAACAACCCTGCCCAAACTTACAGTAACAGCACGCAATCGTATAGCAATGCTGCTCAGCCTTACGGTTCGGCTGTAGCACAACAGCCACCATACAGCAACAATACGAGCAGTAACGCGACCTCGCAACAGCCGTACAACGCAACTCAGCCATCATACGGCAATCAGGCGACGACGCCTTATAATAGTGCGGTGTCACAGACTTACGGATCAACACAACCCAGTTATGGTGGATCCGCAGGTACCAATAGTTACGCTGGAACGTACCAGACTGGTGCAACGACTTACGGTGCGGGACAAGAAGTGCAACAAGTGCACCAACCTCAGAGATCGAAGACTCAGAGGGCGAGAGTACCTCCCCCTTCAAAGGTCAGTAAATCGTCATTTATTTTGCTTCTCGCTATTGAAATGCACGTTTCTGGATGATGACACGATGACGAGACTGAGGGTTAGACTTTGAACGGTTATTCCAGCTTATTATCGAGTCTTTCGGTATTTAGCTTTGGGTTCCTTTGATATGTCTTTCCTGCAGATGTTCTTGGCAATCTGACAGATTTCGGCACCAAGTTCTCGTTTTTCACAACGAGAATCGGGAAATATGCCGTTGTTAATAATGTTTTCATTTTGTTTCAGATACCGGCCAGTGCAGTCGAAATGCCCGGTGATTTAAATAGTAGTGTTACGTTCTTGGATGTGCAGTTCGGAGCGATGGATCTCATTGACACGTCGTTTGACGCAAATTCCGAAGTCAAGTTCGGTAATGAACCTAACAGAAAGTAAGTTGTAATGCCCATCTAGTGAATGGTGTATTTTTTTATCTTTATTGCAATTTATTAAAAAAAAAATGTTTTGATAATATTAGCTCAGCAGCAGTTCAAATGGATAACTCCAGGTCAACGCCTTCAAGTGCTGAATTAAATTCGTCAGGGACAAACAACAGTGGCTGTTTAGGGGCAGACACAGGATACAGCAGTGGTTCTGCAAATGCTAACAATACGGCAAACAGCAATATAACTGCGGCTTTGTCACAGGGTGTAAGTATTTGCTTCATAGTTATCGTGGTTAATTTGAAACAACGCAAACTTTCAAAATAAGAAAAATATCTTTACTTCAACTATTATCCGTTGATCGATTTATTCTTATTATACACTCACTCGTGTGTCTCACTTGAGATGAATACAGCCCTGTATTTGGTTTGTTTTTAGAAGTAGAGTTTTCTGTTTTTGGTATTGAGGAAGAATGTCATGAAATTGAAAAAATTGCTTCTGGAAATAAATAAAACACATGGTTGTTTCCAATAAATGTGACAATTGTTTTATTTCCGTCTTCTATTTTGAAAATATTTTCCATTGTTCTTTGTGATGATTCGATGACGAGACTGAGAGGTAGATCCACAAATTGTTTCTATGTTGGTAATGAGTCTTTCGTTACAAGCAATGGAGCTTTTTTGAGGATCTATTGCTCCGATGATTTTGGCAGCCTGAATAATTGATTTGCACATAAGTCGTGTGAAAATTCCCGAAAACTTTGCTTAACGCTCGATTGTTTTTCAGCTTGCAAGTTCTGATAACAGTACAGTGTCGTCGGACCATTTGAACTACAACAATACGGCGGCGCCTAGGAGCACTTCACAAGGTAATATGGTTGATCGAAATTGCAATCCTTTGCTAACAAACTTAACAGAAATAGGCTCGTCTGTGACAACATCAGTCCCTTCGGTGACTACAGCGTCTACTGTAGAATTGAGCAAACAGCCCACCGATGGACAGTCAGAGGGTTCTACTAATGGTTATTCGTACAGCTCTCAGGCGGCTTCTTACAACGCCTACCAGCAAAAGTCGAATGTGTACAATTCCTTGCCCTATGTAGCAGCACAGGTAAGCAATACAAACTATGTTTTAGGTATATGGTGCAACTTGATTTTCATTGAATAGAAGAATAAAAATGTATACAATATATATTTTCTAGGCGACAACAAGTGCCTATGTCGGCGGTAGCCCATCGGGGGCTAGCTATGCGAACCAAGCGAACTCTTATGCAGCTGGCGTGCAAAATTCTTCAGCGGGCTCAAACTCGTACGGAAACGCGTACTCATCCGCTGCGGCTGCAACTCAGGCCTATCCGGCTGCTGCGTATGCTTCAGTTACGCAAACCCCTAACTCGTATCAGACCGGTGGCCAGCCGAGCTACGCATCTGCTCAGAATTCGAACAGTCAGTCAGTTTATGGTGCTAATGCAGGTACTTACAAATAAAGCATAAAATCCCTTTCCTTTTTATAATGGCTAATCAACTTGGAAAAAATGGACTCTTTGATTTTGGCTAATTGTTTTTAGGATTAAGTAACAACGCTAACTTCCCATCGGCTTCTAATCAGTACAACAGTTACAATTCAACGCCGGCTGTCAGCGGACACAAATTAGGGTCCAAAGAGAACTCTTACGATAGTAGCAATGCAGCAGGAAGCGTTACTAGCACAGCGTCTAGCAACATTGCTGCGTCCAGTACCGTTGCAATGTCGTCGCTAAGTCAAACGACGATGAACAGTAAGACAACAGCGGCGCTAGGTAAGAACGATATTGACTATCAATTGCTGATTACTTACGGAAATTTCGATTCTGATGGTGATATTCGATGAGGGAAATGAGCAGTTGGGCTTTGTTTGCGTTTATAGCAAGCTTTTTGGCTTTCACTTTCACAAGACGAAATTTCCGACGATATGCTGCTGGGATTATCTTTTGGCCTCTGACTGTCTTCATATTTTTCCCTTGCTTGAAATCTCCTAAGTGCTATTAGTTATAATTCCCTGTTTATTTACAGCCAAAAATTCTACTAGTGTGATGTCCAATATACCTCCACCTGGAGTAACCCCTGTGATGAGTACGCCCTACATAATGGGACAAGTGCCCTACTTCCAACAACCCGTGTACTCCTTTGAGGATATGCAACTGTTGCAGCAACGGTTGCCGCACTTGGTGAGTTTCAAATATTTCATCTTTCTTTTCTTATCGAACTTAATTGAAGCTCATTTACTTCAGTTGTGTTCAAATGTATTTTCACATCGAATCATTGTCCAAAGGCTTGAATGGAGATAAATGAAAATTTAACAAAACCTTTGATAAACAAACTTTGATTCAACAAAACCCCATCAGTTGGCGACTCATAAAAGTAGACTACTCTTAAAGGCAGTTTTTCCGATTTTGGCAGATCAGGCTTTGTGAAATACGTCGGATATAATTTGAAGAATATTTCTTTGCAATTTTATAAATCGTACTCTTCCAAAAAAGAAATCTTTGTCAGTAATGTGATTTACGCAAAGGTAGATCGAAAGTCAGAGTTACACAACTATTTAATTGTCTACTTTTATGTGTCGTCGACTGTAATTAGTTGCTGGTGATGTAACGATTCTTATGTTGGGGTGGAGGATACAATATTTATCTGCTTGTTGTAGCTTTTTGATTTTGCCATTCATTCATTTGTGCTTTTTACGTGCTATTAAGAAATCAGTCACATGCACAAGATCGACTTTCAATGTCCTGAAATAACCACTTCTAAATGCCGATTAATCCCAAATCATTTTAAATCTTGCATGTGCTTAATCGCTAAATAACTGGGCGCTATAAATATACTATTTTTATTATTTGTGTTGCAGTGTTATGGTTTTTTTGTGGTATTTTACTAAACTATAAATTCTTAATTTATTGACACATTTTTATATTATTATTAGCGTGACTACAGAGAGTGAATCAGGTTTAATTTTGATGACTTGATGATATAAACATTTCCCTTATATCTCATCGTTTCGGAGATACAGCGCGATGAGGAACAGTTTTTCCTCATAAGTTTTGAACCTATTATCCGATTGTCGTGAAACACGCAATACAAACACTTCTAATGACCTTACAAAGGCTCTTTAAGTTTTAGCCACCCAATATTCTTGGAAGGGTATTTTGTGGGTCACTCCTGCATTTTGTATCAAAACTAGAATAAAAACAAGTTCAATATCACGGCTCCACAGTGCCATTCACTGATTCATTAGAAAACTTTGCCACTTGATATTTTTTCATATTTTATTTTGTGTCCGAGATATTTAATGAACGATAAAAACCCAAACACTTTTGACTCTGTATGCGAAATGATGCGATTTAGGGAAAATGTTATTTACATCATGTCGGGACATTATTCTAATCTGTTCTATTGATTCCCGATGTTATCAAGATCAAACTGAATCTCTGTATACAAGTTTTTGTGTTTTAATAGGTATATTCAAATTGCGTCAATTTTTTTGCTCTGATCAAGTGTTTGTTGGAGTAGGCACAAAATGGTACGGTTTGAAAGTATTTTGATGTAGACTAATGTAACTGGGAAAATAGTATTTTAGCTGTAATCGTTACATCACGCAATCTGTGTACCATTTGTATAATATGTTTTCTGATACCTCACCCTGAGCTAACATGGTTTGAAGCTGTTTCACTGCTTCAAGCGTGATTAATGTTGATATACTACATTGTACGGGTAGTTGATCATTTTCTTGGTAGCTATTAGTCGTACAGCTGAGTAAATAGCAACCAGGAAGGTGTGTGGTAGCAATGCATATAACCCCTCTTCACTCGCTTAGCATTAAAACGACTAACCTGGCCCTAAGTCCTTCTGGCATATCCTTTTTAGAGCACAATGCCTATTGTTTCTAGTATATCCCGAGGTTCCACGCATGTTTAAGGGTCTAGATGGTACTTACAAATCTGGTAGGTAAATAAAGCTTGGACTTATTGTCTATGTGCAATAATATTTCGGATTATTCGCTATGCATATCATCGATTGAATACGAACCGTTCTTGTAAAGGCAATACCGTTCAGACAATTTGAAATAGCAATCGAGTGAACACGTGGTCATGTGTATTCCTATGTATTCTACTCTGTAGCCCACCCCTTACTACGACATCAGTTACCAGACGCCGACAACGCTGGCAACGGTTCGGGACCCGACAGCCGCCCTTGGGGGATATGGAGCGGCAACTGGTGATGGACGCTTCCAGACTGCAGGACGGGCCGGTGATGGAACAACGTCGCCTGTGCCCGCCGCCTCACAGCAGCAGCAACAGCAACAGCCGCCCATTTTAGCTGCAGCAGCCGGCACAGCTCCTCCCTACTTCTTTGCGACCGCATTTAACACTATCACGGCGGCGCCTCCAAATTATCCTCAGTTCGGGACGATGTATACGGTAATGGTTTTTCTCAGTTAATCTGAACATTGAAACGAGCGTTGGTAGATTGTTAGTAACTAAGTACGGTTCAATCGATTTGCAGCAGCTGCCTACTGTAACCAACGCTCATGGATCCAGTGGCAGTAGTCAGTATGGGCCAAAACCAGCTACCTACGGCTCAGGCGGGTATGGGGGTTATGACTCTTTAGGGCAATCTGCGCAAGACTATGCGAAAGGTGGCTATGCGGTCGGAACAGCTGCCGCTGCTCAACAAGCTGCTCAGAAGGGCCAGACGAACTCTGGCACAACACCGGGATCGGCCGGCAACGATATCAGTGCGATGTATGGCAAGTCGCATGCAGCTCTGAGTAAAGTAAATGTACGTTTGGAAAAATGATTAGAATTAACTAAAACATTGAGATAATATAGTTGTTAAGCAATCGTCTACAGTCTCACAAATATTATCCACCACCTCACTTTGACTAGTTCTAAGCTGAATTAATTTCAACAGAAAACTACTTAATCAATTTAGCAAGTTTTCGATGCAAATTGCCCAATTGACATGAAAATCGCAGGTTCAAATTTTCCTTAATTACACATTTTCCAAGAGCATTAAACTGTGTTTGACTACCTGATAAACACTGGGAGAAACTTAGTTGTTTACATACAGGCTGTTTCACGAGGAAGGGGCATCATCTTAAACACGTCTAATACGTCCAAAAATAACCCTAGTTTGCTATATAAATGAGCTAAAAAATTATATTGTTTGGGATCAACAGCTAGGGAAGACTAGTGTTTTGCAACAAATAATTTTGCCAAGTTTTGTCAGTGGCGTATATTCCTGCACGCTACCGAAATTGTTATTGAAAGGGTTATTTTCGGACCTAGAACTCGTGGTTAAAATAATGTCCTTTCCTCGTAAAACAGCTTGAAGATTTGCTCGTGTTCTTTAAAACAACGCATAGAAAAGGGATCGAAAGACCTTCGAAGATTTAGTATTTGTTTCTGTTTTTGCAGTCCTATGAAAAGCAGGGATTTCATTCGGGTACCCCACCGCCTTTCACCGGGGCCCTCAACCAAAGCGCTGGTTTAGCCCCAACTGGTACGGGCTACCCTCCTCAAGTGTACATCCCAACGATGCCGCAGCATCACAACGCCATGGCCATGCATCAGCCTCTGCATCAGGTATGCATGCGTCCTATTTTTCGCCCGACGGTTCCACCGGCATCGCGGTCCTAAAGGTTGCATGAAGGTTTTCTTACCGGGAGACGCTCCTTTGGATTCATTCAACTGGATTTTCAGTACAAAAATCAAAATAAAAAAAAAATGTTGGTATGTGGATGGTTTAATTGCTCAGTTGTGGCAATACTCCTTTTGCTAATATTGCGACCGATGTGGACAATGGCCACAGCAACCAGCGCAGCTTATTGTTATTGATATGTTATGAAGCATGCATGCACGTTCTTGCATGTTTTACTGTTCTGATGGATCTTCATTCTTTGGGAATGGCTCTATTTCTATTTCATTATAACTATAAAAAAATTTCTAAGTGTTTTTTTTTATATTGTTATACAGGGTTATTCACGCTATACGGCCCGGATGTTTGCGGCTAGCCCGTTTGTTTTTTGCAAAGTATTATTTAATGAATCCACAGACGCCTATCGGGTGCACATTTTAAAAATAGTAGTTGACACATGAAAAAAATATTAGATTTTGATAAAATTAGAATTATTTAAAAAGCCTTAAGATTTAGGTATTATAAACCTTATTAAAACAGACACTTATTTTGTTCAGCGAATCCAAAAATGCATTAATATACAAGATATTTGATTTAAAAAAACGCAACTTTGATACATTTAGAGCTTTTGGGACACCCTGTACATTACAAAAATATTTTTAAAATGTGCGCTCGATAGGCAGAAAATAATACTTTTTAAAAATCAAACGGTTTAGCTGCAAACTTCCGTGCCGTATAGCGTGAAATAACCCTCTATAGGCGTTTCAAGTTTACTACATCTTTTTTATTCTCTTGTGAACATATGAAAGACAAATTTTCGGACATTGGCACTGAAACCATAGTGATTGGCTCCAAATCAGACAGCTATTGGCACGGCCGCTTTTTATGAGCTAAATGAGTTCTTTAGTGAGGAATGGTATAGGTAAATGAGAAAAATAATCTGTGTAAAATCGTATGTTTGAACAATTATTGCTAAGTAACCACTTTGGTTATTTGTTCATTGGTGACTGCTTCAGTGTACAAGTAAAAACCACGTCAGTAAGGATGTCATAACATCTATGCTTTTCCATATAATTTCTGTGGTAAGTACGGGTGCATTTTCAACAACAGAATCCATTATTAACTTCACTTATAGTGTGAGTGCGTGAAAACCATAAACTATTTTTAATTAGATGTCCCTTCATTTTCTCTGAGGATTCTGATGTGCTGTTTCATCAAAATTTTCTTTCTCCTTTTCGTTGTGTTGAAACAGTGCTTTCTTAGCAATTTCGACAATTTTATCAAGGTGAATGTTCGATATCATATTAACTGATTTTGTGTCGTTTCTGGCAAACTATCAATTACTTGCCATTCTTCAAATCACGCTTAGTTTTGCGCCTCCTGTACTTCTAGATTTTTCTAAAACCATGTTTTCTTTATCTCTGGGCTTTTTGTCCAAAAATGATTTTACACTCACTTGCAGATCTTCCTTCCTGCGTGGAAACTCTTGTTTAAGGCTCTCAATCCCCCCCGTTGACCAGAATAGTTTCCTCTGCCAGCGAAAGAATAGGACTTGGACCAAATGTTGCCTTAGTAAACTTGTTAGTTTAAACGGAACTGTAGCTGCAGCTGCAGCTGCCTTTTTTCTAGATTTTATAATTGGCTATTTCGTGTAAAGCTTTCGAAAGTGACTTGTCGACCCCTCTCTTACTTTTGCCATGGTAGAAAAGCCTTTCATCAATGACATAAACGACTATTAGATGTAACCGATATTCGTCGCCACTTCATTCGATTTAAAAAGCAAACAAAACCTTTTTTTAATTTCTTGTTAAATGCGGATTTATTCTCATAATGCCAATAACTGTGTAAACGGTGTCGGTGCTAACAATTGTATTCCACCTTATGGTGGTCACATGTTACAATACTTTTGAACCCGAATTGTACACAAAAAAATGTTAGATTCTTCGTCGAGCACAAATGTATGCGTGATTTAAAAAAAACCGACTTGCAACCTAGTAGTAGACATTCACTGACTCAACTGCTCGATATAAACTGAGTACAGTCAATGAATGTCTTCATTTATGCCCATGGCGAATTCCCGCACGTTTTTACAGACCGAAGTTGGGGAATGTCTACTGATTGGTGCCAATAAATTATCTATATTTTTTTGCTTACTTAGATTTTGTTTTGCTTGTAGATGGATGTGAGGCACCAAGGCAGGCGCGCGGTAAGTCACCACATGCCCAACGCACTTGCACATGCTTTTTAGCTGCACTTTTAATTGGGCTCACTAATCCACCATAACTGTCTGTTTTCACTTTCTAATCGGGAAACTATGGGCTTAATCTCAATGTGGTGAATCATTTAGTTGATCTAAAAGCTCGTTCACACGGTGACATCAATGTCGTGACATCTAATGCCGTGACAGTACCCAGTGTCAAGGTGTCGTATGTCAAACCATTTTGATATGTCACATTAATGTCGCGATACTGATTTTCAGCTGTTCAGACAATGACACTGTCGTGGATGACATTAGATGTCACGACACTGATGTCACCGTGTGAACGAGCTTTAACAGAAGTCTTATATAATAATATTGAATTGGCTATTTTTTCGGGATTTTAGACTGTCGTGGAAAGGGTATCCTGCCGGTTCAAAGGASAAGRTTTAATTTTTCAAAGAGAAAAACACCAGTTTCAAGCTTAACTAGCTAAATTAATTTGTTGATTTTGATGTCCAAATTTGTATATGTTCCAATAATAATAATAATGAAAGGCACTTTACTAGACAACACTGTTTATAATGTTTGGGAACTTGTGTTACTTACAACCGGACGGGTTGTAAAAGTCCGTGTTTTGCATGTTCGGATCAGTTGCCATATTAACTGTGCATTTGTCTCGTTTGCTTTTTGGGCTTACTTGCAATCATTTTCCTGCTGAAGTATGAAATCTATTTTTATAGTTCACATTACTGTTTTGAACTTTGTCGACCGTTAAAATGGTTTTTCTGAACGCAACTCCACTTGCAAACGAAAACTTATTTGCTATGGAAAAAATATGAAAAGCGAAAGGGCAGAATGGGAAATATCGATTTTATCGGTTCCCAGTGGGTATACAACTGAAGGCCTCTTTCTTAAGAAGAACGATTTAATGCATTTAATTAAAAAAAATAAATTCTTTAAGCTTGAATTTACATCTTTTACCTGCTTATGTTTTCTAATACATAAAACATTGGAATTTCTTGCATCAGAATCTACATAAAACTAACTGTTGAAACTGGTGAGTTTTTCGGGCTTCTTTTAGTAAATTCTTTCTGGCGTTTCGCAAATACTGTCGAGTCAGCCAAAAAACTCACAAGTTTGCAGTATTGAAGAATCTCAAAATAGACGAATATTTTGATAAAACTAATGTTTTCAATTGATCAGTCTTATTAAAGCTTATGATCGTTGCAGGATTCGGGAAATTCGAGCGGTCAGAGATCCCAAGGTTCAAACCAGTCCAAGACAGGTTCCAAGCAGGGCTATGGTGCCTCTTATTGGAACCAAAACTAAATCCCACACGTAGGAGGTCGATTTGGAACTAAAATAAAGAAAATCGGCCGTTTGACTTGAATCCTCATTGACAAGGAAACTGCTCACTTCGCCGTCGCTTATCCCCTATTCCCACTGTATGTCCGCCCTTCCTAGTGAATTTTATTTGATAGATTGTGGTAAACTCATTGGACATTTGTTAAATTAGTGAATCTAAATATGAAATTTGGCCGATTACTGGTGGGAAACTGTTGAAGTATTGCGTGAAATTGTCTGGTGAACCCTTTATATATACCAAACCTGCAGTTTTTAACGCTTTATTTGATAGGGCATTTAATAAAGAAAGAACGGAAAACTGCGGACGCGAGATGTTTAGGTGCTTCACTGCGTCATTTCACGTTTGGTGATGGTTCAGTATTTTCGCGGTATCATGAAACTTTCTTCACTGATGGCATTAAATATTGTCCATGGCACGGTACATTTCCTGCGGGCAATCGGTTAGTTTGCAACTTTTAACATCATACAAACGTGGGGTCAGAACTACCACCATCGCATAGTAATGTATTTATTCACGTTTACTTTATTATGTTAGTGGTATTGCATAGCGGAGAGGCAACCAGCCCTGAGTATATATTGGTTTAATTATTTTCTATGGTAATTTAGCTAGTTTTTTTTTTCATTTTTTTTCACTGTTAGTATTGTGCTAGAATCGTTTTTTTTTAGTTATTGATTGGTGTCGTGCAATCTGAACTTCAGAAGAAATGTCTTTAATTTCGTTTGAGATGTGAACAAGGAAGCTGCCGGATTGATTTTTTTGGCAAAGTTTGGCTCTGTTAAGACAACAAACACGGTTTGTCCAGAAAACAGTGAGAATTCTCAAGGTACACCCGCTGAAAATTCTAACCGTTTTGCGACGGAAAACTGAATTGTTTATTGTTCTTTCATTTCTTCGAGATTATGTAATTGTAAAATAACACTAGATCGTGCAGATTAATCAGCAAATTGTCTATTTTGAGCATTGATATATGATTGCCGCGCGACACTTGCGAATGTTTGAGGACAATTGTCGTTCACTCAAACCAATATACAACCTATTTTAGATGGATAAGTTTCTGTTWTATTTTTAAGACGTTGGAATTAATATTATGTATTACTTTATGTAGGGCGAAGTGATGCTGTAGTTTCGCCTGCGACAGATAGAAGTCAATTTACAAAGTCACCAATAGGGACTTTACTATCGAATAACCAGCAATTTCTTGAAATCGAATTGGATACTAAGGTCCCTTTTTTCTTCCGCCTCAATTAACACTGATAAATTATTGATAGTAATGTGTAAATAGGGCTTTTAAAAAACAGTAATTGAATTTTTCCGAATGTCCCCACGCCTGTTGATACAATTTAGAACTTAGAATGTTTGGAAATCCTTTTCCTGCCGATTAATAGTAATTGTCATAATAGGTAAATTGACTTGCCTATAGTACGCAGTCTTGTGCGACTGACCTCCGGATGGACTTGTTTGATTACGCGACGGGTTGGAACCGGCGTCGGGGCGCTCCAAGAGTGTTCGGGCGTTGGTTTCTGAAGAGCCGTAAGACGGAACGTTAAGGGTCGCCGGCTTTCCATCGACCCGCTGCGGGACTCACGTCAAGTAACATTCGGACTTTTATTTTACATTTAGATAGAATTTAATTGATAACTAAATTATCTTGTGTACCTATCGCTAATTTGTATAAATACCCACACAATTATGTAGACACTGTATATGTGTAGTTTTATTTTGTAATTGCTAACTTATGATGAGACATTTGAAAGAATACACATGAATAATAAGTCTGGATATTGGAATTTTGTGCCCTTTCAGCTGATCCTTCATTTTCCTGGACTTGATTAGACTTTCAACTTGTGATACTAACCCCCCGGTTGCACCGTTCTCGCTTTAAACACTGATTATATCTTAACCGGTGTTTAAAAAAAAATGTATTGCACCGTCGCAAACTAATCGTCTGTTAGTTAATCAGAGAATTTAATTAGGTTGCTATCTTCATGATTATCGAATTTAATTTCACATGATCTTTCGCAGCAACGCGGCCAGTAATATATTAGTTATGCTATATTTTATTGTGACGTCGACTAACAATGCAAATCAAAGCTCTAACAAGGTCTGAAATAGCTGAAAAATACGACCAACTGCATAATTGGCAACTGGAGTTCTATATAATACAGCATATTTTTGGCCATATTATATAGAACTCCAGTTGCCGAAATAATGTGCATTGCGCTTTACCAGTTTTACTCTGAAGCCATACGCCAAAACGGGAAACCTTCTTTTCCAAACTCCAAAACATCTTTCGATCCCGCTTCGTGTTCGGATATGGAAATTATTGTATAGCCTTTCGGCTCTTGTTGCAAGATTAACTAAAACGGCTAACAAATAGGATCTAAGACTATAGCCACTGTCACCCGTAATAAAAAAAAACAAGAAAATATACTAATCGGGTGCTAATCAGCCAAAAAGTGCCGGTTAATATAATCGTTGTTTAGAATACACAAAACAGTGGTTAAGCGACGGGACAACACATTTTCCAGACTAAACGACGATTACATTTTTAATCACTGTTTAGTCAAACGGTGCAACTGGGCATTAGAAGTTTAGTTTTCTCGATGTATCAAACACTTTGAAAGCGCGAAAACATCAAACGAAATACTACAAGAAGTTAACATTTATTGTCCAATATTCCTCCTATCTAACGTTATAATACAAAACATTTTCTACTATTAAAATATCACTGTCTTTCTGTCTTTATATATTTAGTAATGATACTGTTACAAACACATCAGTCGCTGAACTGTTTTCCAAGATTTCACTCTGTTTCGTTGATTTTTGCCAAACACACTATACAGCACGACGCGGGTAGATCTAGCACAAAACGGAGCTTCAATTGAGCGCTTGATGATATTAGAAAATTGAATAATCCATGATTATTTGATATTTTGCAGGACTAACGATCTGAATGTGGAAGTGCGTTGGGACGCAGTCGGCAGGACTGTTCGTTTATTAGTAACTTATTTACTTTCAAGACCAAAACTGTAACAAAAGTGCAAGTGATGGGAAGGGGAGTCTGTGCCGTTTGAAACGTACTTTGTAGATGAAAAAGTGCGCAAAATGCAATAGAATAATTCAGCTTAATATATGTATTGAAAGCATAAAAGTTTTTAACCAAAAATAGTTGAGTCTGAACTTGTTCTTTGAAAACATGGAACCGTTGGATAAAACGTACTAAGCTCAATTAGAGTTTGGTATGTACAAGTAGCTCCAGTTTAGAAATTGTCTTGAAACGAAGAGCCTCTACATAGAAGCTAAAGAAAATCGCTGCGCTAGTTTTTCCACCAAAACCATGACTGTGAAAGAAAATCTTCAAGTCGAGCTAACACAGTTGAAACAAGCACCTTAAAGACTAGTTCCACTCTCTCTAGTACAGTCTCCATTCGCACCATTCTCCGTAGTCTTTTGCGGCTGAACTTGCACTTCCTCCAGCTCAATGCACTCGCCATTCCGCAGGTTGTTCAGCAGCAATAGACTCACTTCACTGTAGGAAGGAGGCAGATCGAGTTCCCTCAAACCGAAGATATCTTCGTAGGCCGGAGGCCCGAAGCCCAACGAAGTGGGGCTTAAGCCTTTGGACGTGGTGTCGCTATCTAGAATACTGGGAGTGCTGCATGTGAGTCGCACAGTGTCGCTTTGGTTGCGGATCAGATTGGCGCTCAGCTCCAGCAGATCGATTCCGGACTGATCGGCCTGCAGCTGACTGAAAATGGAACGATCCACTACCAGCATTCTGCCGTATGGAAGCAGGATTACTGTGGGCGTTGAGCTTTCTGGGATGGGCGTACTACCTGCAAGTTGAAGAGAGTTTGATCAGTTGCAGGAATTAAAACAGTAAAGGCCGTGAAAAATCGAGAACACTTAAAATGTGCCGAAAATGTCTATTATTTTGGATCTGAAACTTCTACCATGCTTTTTAGTGAGTTCGATGCATTGCTCGCGTCCGGGAACTGAAAATGACGTAAAATTTGAGACATTTTGAGAAAATTTTCATTTTTTCAAAAAATCGACCCCCACCCTTGGAAAAATTTCGGCCAAAAATCAAAATTTCACATGCGTGTTTTTT